AGACAATTAAATGACATGCTCAACACCACTGCTGCAATAAAATAATTGAAACTCACCGACATTTTTGTTTTCAACTCCAGAGTAATTTTTAAATTCTACAGATATATATTTCCTTGAATGCATGTTCGTGAATTATTGATAGTAGAATAGTTTCAGTTTTTTTAAATTTAAGAATTTTACAAGTCAAATTTAATATTATGGAGTTTGTGCTTTGTAGCAAGTATTTACTAAATATTTATAATTTTCTATGATTTTATCGCACAGTAGATTCATGTTTTAGAGCAGAGCTTCCACTCAAGTTTTATTCATGCCGTGTTAGATCTAGAGGTAAAGGTACTAGTATTCATCCTTTCTAAGCTATATCATTATTGCTTATCACGCCCTTCTAATTCTATATAAGAAAGTGAAGTAAATACCGTTGTAAATAAATGAAGAAAATTTAGAAATGTTTAGTATTAGGCTAAGTCGATCAGATTAGAAATTCAGCAACTATCGAACTGTAACAAAAATCTTATTTTGATTAGATTTCAGGTATAAGCGAATGTGTGTGGATATGTGGAAGGGATTGTATTTATTAATTCATTCAAGATTTGCTAAATTGTTCGTTTGGGCGGAGGCTTAAAAAAAGTGACACACTGCATGTACAGGTACACGTCAGTAAATGTTCTGATTAATTTAAAATTCGAGGGACATTAATTTATTTTAGTTATCTAACGTAATCTTCAGAGAGTGAGACATTATATATTTTCTGTTTTTCATGCTGCAGATTTCCTTTCTTTTGATTTACCGTTTACACAGGCCTGTGTTTTAACAACTGTTCATAAATGCTGTCAATTGATATATGCTAAGAGAAAACGATACATCTTTCGGTAATTTATTTTTTATGGGGAAAAAATAGGTGAAAATATATAGATTGACACCTTAGTATTTACCTGTGTATTATGATGTTACAATCCGTGACGATGACTGGCCAGGATGACAGAAGGGCTACCCGTTAAAACAACTCATAATCAACTCAGCGGACCTACAATTAGTTCACTTTAATGTTTGTATTTCAAACGCAGATTACGCTTTACATGCGTATATTTGTGCACTCTTCCATATGCATTATACTTGTAAAACGTGCATGTTCTGTTCTTGCATTCATTTATATTTTATGTGTCCATAAAACCTTAAGCATTAATACGAGAGCTGATAAGAAAAAATAACGGAAACCTGCTCGCATGAAATTACAAGTTTATTAGAAAATAATTAATTGTTCAAGATCAATTAGTTGCCTAATGGAATAAAGTTACGCATGTGTGTCTCAATCTACATACTTTGGAGGCGCGTGTGAATGTGGGATTTTGTATTGATGTATTTTGAAAAAAAGCTCGATATTCGTATATTTGGGGCGCCCTTGCATAGAATACATGCATATACAGTTGTACATTTTAAGGGCTTCGACAAAAGAACGTATATTAACCTACATACATGTACATTTAAGATACAAAAAATCTATCAGTGAAATTAATCAATGTAACATATTTTCGATGGTATTTGAAGTAAAAGAGACCATGATCTCGATGTCGAGAAATACATTAGGTATTAAAAAACAAGATGTGTTTGTGAAACACTGATGCCCCCGTATGGCAACATAGCGAAGGTGAAGCTTTCTCGAATGCAGATCAAATATGTTGGTACCAAAGTAAGGCCTTTTCACAAGAAATGCGAAATATAAAACGCTAGCTACACCTTTTTCAGGGTTATGACCAAGGTTAACATTTTATAATATAGGATAAACTCCGGGTCAAGGTCAAAGGGTCAAGGTTGTTGGGTTCTAAAGAAAGGCCTTGTCTCAAAGATTACGTATGGGAGTATGAAAGCGCTGGCCCTTACCGTTCAAAAGTTACGGCCAAGGTTAAATTTGTAAAAGTAGGTCAAACTCTAAGATCAAGGTCAAAGGGTCAAGATTCTTGATATCCAGTGAAAGGACTTGTCACAAGGATTACACATGTGAAATATGAAAGCTCTAGCCCCTACTTTTTAAAAGTTATGGTCAAGGTTAAAGATTGTAAAAAGTAGGTCAAACTCCAAGATCAAGGTCAAAGAGTCAAGGTTCTTGATATCAAATGAAAGGTCTTGTCACAAGAATTAAATTTTTGAAGTATGAATGCCCCATTTCAAACCCTTCAAAAATTATGATCAATGTTGTAATTTAATGTAGGTCAAACTCCAAGGTCAAGGTCAAAGGGATAGGTTCTTGGTATCAAATAAAAGGTCTTTTCATCAGAATTATATATGTGAAGTACGAATGCCCTAGTACTTAATGTTCAAAAGTTATAGCCAAGGTTAAAGTTTTTTCATAGATACGGAAATCTCCAAGGTCAAGGCCAAAAGGTCAAGATTGTTGGTATCCAATAAAAGGTCTTTCCACAAAAAATACATATATCAAATATAAATGTCCTAGTTTCTATTTTTCAAAAGATATGGCCAAAGTAAAAGTTCAAATTTTTTGTGTTGAAGTGGGTTTAACTCCAAGGTCAAGGTCAAAAGGTCAAATTTGGTGGTACCCAAAAGAATGTCTTGTCACAAGAAATACACATGTGAAATATGAATGTCATAGCTCCACTAAATCAAAAGTTATAGGCAAGGTTAAAGTTTTTTCGGACAAACAGACAGACAGACAGACGGACAGACAGACAGACACGATAAAAACTATATACCCCCGAAACTTCGTTTACGGGGGCATAATAATTATAATATGCAACTTTCATGTAATTCAGCTAATAAATCATTAAATGAAATGCACTAGCGACATACTCAGTCAAATATATTATGAAATAATCTGAAAGATTTAACATATTTATCCACTCATCACTTAGTTAACTAAATTAAGTTAACCATTCTGTGGTTTTTTGTGTATGACTCTGGATCGCTGGATGGTGTGTTCCCATTTTGCCTTAACTGTGAAATTCAGGTAAGAAAAAGTTAAAAAGTACTAAGGCGAAATGGGGATTTTAGTATTTGTAAATATTATTACTGGGTTAATTTTTAGATTGAATTTAACAGTTAATAGGAATTTATGAATACAGTGAATGAAATAATACATGTAATACTAAGTTTGTTTTTTTTTTAAATACTTCATGCTAAATATTATAGATCTTCATCACCTTAATTCACCTGAGAGCTTACTAAGGTGAAATGGTAATGCTAAATTTTACTGTTAAGGTGAGATGGGAACAAACGAACTGGATCACACGCCGATTGATTCCAGGTGACACTCGCGCTATCAAGGGAAGCGCGTTATATAATTGTAAACTAAGGTGAATGTAAAAGTCGTGCATAGTATATGCTGTATAGTTATATTTTATTTTCTCGCTATATTCTTTGTTTTTATATGATAAGAAGAAAAGATTATCTTTTTTTCCCCTTTTAGTAGACTTGGTTTATACGATTTAAAAAAATGAAATAAAAGGGAACATTGTCAGTGAATAATCATGATAATTTGTGAAAAAAAACACAAAACACTTCAAGAACCTTATTCAAAAGAATATTAGCATCCAATGTGGCCATGTTTATTATTTATAGTAAGTTTGTTTTGGTTACACGCATGAAGAGCTCTCGTTTACGTGCAGAGTGAAAAGAATTACTTGTACATGTATGGATCATGCATCTAGCTCATTAAATTAAGACTCGAACAAAATAACAATTTCATGAGATCAATGAGATGTTAAAGCACAACTTTATAACCGACAGTCATTTTGAAATATTTGCCGTTTTTGAGTTATAAAGCAAGGATTTTCAAGAACCCTATAACACTAATTTTAGGGGCCAGTCCCTTTTAAATCACTGATATCAAATGAAAGCTCTTACACACATGCACAACTTTTATTCAACACGGCTTTACAAAATATTTTTAGTTTTGAAGATATAAAGGAAAATATTTGTAAATTTTCGCTCTTTTTGAAGTTCTAATTTTTTATCCCTATGTAGCGCCATTTTGAATACAGAAATCAAATCAAAGTATTCAGAAGTACAGAGAGCCGGGCTCATTTACAGAGTAGAATGGATTTCTTACATGAATCACGTTTATATTCTGATGAAAAAATTATTTTAAAACTATCAATATAAATGATAAGACACTGACAGCGAGTTTTTCAATCCTAATACCACGGTCCGATTTTGTCAGAATCAGAATTAATCTGGTACCGCAGCTGAATGTAAACAAACAGGCCAATCTGGTTCCCTCTCCTGCTTTACCTCGCATGTGTAGAGAACTACGGTAACACTGATTATCAAAAATCCTTACGCTATTGAACTATGTTCTTTGACTTATGAAGTTTTCAAAGTCATTACTACTAATGTTTATTTTATATAGATAAAACTTCGTTTTATTTTTGTTGCTTTATTTAGCGTTTGTATTATCTCAAAAGCGGTTGAGAGTAAGAACTATATTTTTGCACGTAACTTTGAAATGGCGACTATGGGGTTAACATCCTGCCTTGAACAGGATCACATAAGCCGGCAATTGCTCTTTGAGCAATAAGCCCGGCTAAAAATGAAGACCGATATGCACAGCTTCAATCTTTCTGTTATCTAAAACCAGTAAAATTTCTGCTCCAGCTTTTGTGGTATCTGAGCCTTTATCTGGAAATGAAAGCCTATAATTTTTCGTTTAAAGGGAAATACCTCATAAGTGGAAGTAAATTTTTAAAATACTAGACGGCATTCTGATAGAGTTTATTACCGTCTATAATGTCTTAATATAATTTTAGCAAAATCCATCGAAAAATGAGTGAGATATAAGGCCTCAAAGTTGGCGTCCTGGAAGTAGAAGAAAAAAAAGAAGAATAATCTTTACCAACAGAATCAGTAGAAGGTCTTCCGTTGGAAACGGAAGACCTTGAATAAAAATATAATCTTATGAAAATTATGTAAGCATTGAATGATTAACTAAAGAGCATATATCATTTTTTACGAGTTATTTTGAATTCTCCTTTAATCCTCATTAGAAAGACGGTCCTACAAAATATATCTGAGTCAGTGTTCATGGGACTGTGTGATAAACTTGGAACTTCACAACTGGTGGTCATGAGGAGAGATGTGGTGGACATCAGGGATATGGTGGAAAATCAACGGAGAACAAGTGATGAGGACAGTGTGATGTGGAGTGGAAGTCACAGAGAAGGATTTAGGCTGAAAGAATCAGATATAGACGTTATGTACTGGCCAAATAATCACCGTGTTATATGGGAATTACCTCAATCTCAGTATTACAACACACACAGGCAAACACTGATCCTCTGTGACTGTTCTGATAGTCCACCAGGATTCTCTTTGTTATATTTACTGTCACCAAGCATGAACAGAAGTGTCAAGAGAGCCTGTATAAGATTGAATAACATGCACTATATCTCCAGTTCAAAATACAGAAAGATTATGTGTTCTGTAGTTTATTCTGATTCCATTCAACATGGACCCTGTGCCAGTGGAATTTTTTCAGGTGAAATAGAATATGATTTAGCCCACTGTTTTGCTTGTGACTTTTGGCCTACGCCTGCTACTGCATGGATAGAAAGATGCCACTCATGGCCCAAGCCTCGTATTGTTCATGATATAGTTAAAAATGGTTGTCACTTTGTACCAGTAGGGCATAGACAAGGACACCATGTTCACAATGAATGGAGACTGTCTTTCTCTCTTGCAGAACATAAACTTGTGTGTGCTATGAATCACTGTCAATTTATAACTTATGGCTTACTTAAATTGTTCTTAACAGAAATAATTAACTATGGAATAAGTGCTGATGATAAATTACTGTGTTCCTATCACATGAAGACAGCAGTTTTCTGGGTGATTCAGCAGAATACATTAGAACACTGGTGTCCACAAACTCTCCTGGAGTGTTTCTGGGTCTGTTTTAAACTCATCCTTAAGTGGGTGTATGAGGGGGTCTGTCCTAACTTTTTTATTCCCCAAAATAACATGTTTCTGAGTAAAGTCCATGGTGAAGCACAGCATCAGCTATTTTTAAGACTGTATAGATTGTATGCGATGGGTATAGTATTCTTGCTACAGAGTCCCTCCATTAGGTCTTATATTGTTAATGTCCTCCATTACCCCCACCTTTCCATCTATACAGATGAACGTACTCTGATTTCTGAGGCTGAGTTAGATATGGAGCTATTGAAGGAGATATACAAACATGACATACTTTACACACCAAACTTAGAAACCTGTATGAGATGTCTACATACAATAGAACAGATGTTAAAGTCACCCCTACTAACACAGTATCAAGTCGTTATGATACAGAAAATTACAGCTTATCTCCTTCAGAAATCACCTTTTATGTTATACATGGAAACTTACAAAAATAAAAACAAACTGAGATATAGAACTGACAAAATGTCCTATCACATGCTGAAATTAGCAACCAAGTTTGGTTGTATTTCTGACATGATGTACTTAGCCATGTATTATTACAAGACTCTTAGATACATGGAAGCTTTATCAATTATAGAGATGATCAAGGTAAAGTTAGCAAAGCCATATGTGATGAATTGGAATACTTATGTAGATTTAGTGATGTACACCGATGCTGTAGGGGGACAGTCCTGGTGTTCAAAGATGAGACAGGCTGTAACAATGTATATATTACTTAGAAATAAAATCCATTTTATTAATGAATTGATACTAGAACAAATTTCTAGTCTACAGAACAACTGGACACATTTACATATCCCACCATTTGTACTGTTGTACATGCTAGAGATCTTATGCTACAGACATGTAGACACAATTGGAGTACAAACCGCTCTAGATAATCTACAGACCCTAGTTCACTATGATCAGGGACAGCTTGTACCTTTAGAAATAAGAGACATATCATGGCAGATTCTGGGGATCTGTCAACAGGTGACAGGGAACCCCCAGGCTGCTCTATACTCATACCAACAATCTCTCAGACAAAGACCGTCCAATAGAATTCAAACAGCTACAGAAATTAGAATACAAGAAGTTTATCACAGATCATCAAATTATTGAAATAAAATCATCTTTTTGAAGCCCATGTGATAGAATTTATTATTTGTATATTTCTTCTCATTCTACCAAATTTTCTGAATGACTATTTCATCGATTTAAAAACAGGTGACAGGGAACCTCTAGGCTGCTCTTTATTGAAACATTCACTCTATCAGATGCCATATACTGTAAACCAACTTTTATTCGCGACGACTTTATTTCGCGATTTAGCAAGGATAAACTAGTTCGCGACGATTAATTTTCACGATCAAGCCTTTTGGATCTTTTATTGATAGACAAATAACACTTTAAGGACGGGTTCGCGGCGAGAAATATTCGCGATGACGAGGCTCTCGCGAACTTCGCGAAAATTACTCGCACGCGAATAAAAGTTGGTTTACAGTAACAAAAGACAAACTGCCAAAATTATCAGAATTATAACAACAATCTATAAACTTTGAAATGTCTTTTAGTTATAATGAAACAAATGATGATACATGGCAAGAAAAAGTGGCAGCATCGACAGAATTATAACATTATTTATAGACTCGTGAATGTCTTTCAGTTACAAACATGAAATTGTCTTGCAAAAAAGCACCAATAGCAATCAATTCTTGGTGTAGGATGCACTTAAACTAGTCAGAGTTTATAGTAATAAAATAACAGCAGACCTTTTGATAATGTCCATCTTTCTTCTTTTACATGAAACATTAATTCTCAAATATTTTTAATACTGATGACAATCTGAATCTGAATTTGTGAAGATTGTAAATTGTATTTATCAAAAACAGACAAAATGTTTTACAAATTATATTTTTCTTTTTTCATCAAGTATTTCTGTAAATAATCTAAAAGAGCTCAGTTCACTTTGTGCATAAAACGGCCCTGTAGATAAACCAATTTATTGACTAACATTTTATGTTCTATTTAAAACATCCTAATAAAGTAGAGACTTAGTACTTTCATTACCTATTGAAAATTTTCTCCTTAAACTCGAGTTGTTGAAACACAGGCTTTATGGAATTGCAATGTTCTTGAATTTATAATGAAAACAGGTATACATGTATTTGAGTACTTTCAGAGAAGAAAAATAAAAAATAAAACATGTCTTATAATCCTCAGAAACAGTTCTATCATTTACTAGTTGCTTATTTTAGATCAGAGATTGGACTCCATATTAAATATTGGAAAATAGCTTTAAAAACTGGCTGATTTTGTAGACTTTTCAGAATATGAGGAAATTGGCGCATTTCGTTACGTCATAATGCATTGACTAGCCAAAAAATACGTAATTTTTAATAGATATGCAATCACCAATAGTCTAAATAATATTTAATGCAATGTTAACAAAATTTAAGCAGTTTCAGTTTTTCAGAAATTCACAGGGCCAAAAAGGCCATAAGTGAACTTTGTTCTTTGAATAGGTCTCCCTTATTTTATGTAAGTCTCTCTTTACAATAATTATGTACATGTATTTAATGTTTGAAATAAAAGGCATACAAAACAGAAAGAATATCAATTTTAATATTTTCATCATTTTTATTTTCAGAGATGATACTTTGAAATAAATATATTTATTACATTCGAGCACTTCCCTATATATGAAGTTAAAACAAGACAACATATTTAAATAATTGTACAATATTTCATCCTTGAAGGTGAGTATCTCCCTATAAGCTCTCTCCTAAAATACTCTCAAAGCATAACAATTGTTCTATGTAAACAAAATGATACAGAATGACATTTGACAGACTGATTTCAAGTCACAAAATCTTATCTTCGTGAAAGTTTATATCTTTATATGAGATTGTGGAAATGCCATGGTTTATCTACAATGTAGATAAATGAATAATTTCGTCCTCAAGATACAAAGGTCCATTGTTCTGTATTTCAATCTTCTAGTAATTCTTCATCCAAATTTATGTCCTGAGGGAAAAAATTCAATTATCAAAATATTTCATTTATATTAAATTCTTTACTTTTTCAGCTTTAACTGGCTAATTGAGAGAAATATATACATGTACAGTAGAGCCTCATTTATCCAGATGCTTTGGTTCCCAGTCAATTTGTCTGGATATGTGAAGCGTCCGGATACCTGAATCACCAGTTAAACAAGACAAAATAACATTAAAAAATTATGTTCCGATGAAATATGGTACACAAGTATATTTTATTAGCCAGTTTACATTGCATGATTCAATATTTAGAAATGGGTCAGGTTAATCCTTACTTTATATTAAACAAGAGGCCCATGGGCCACATCTCTCACCAGAGTAACTTTAGCCATTCTGTCATTTAGCAGATTTCCCCCTTTGTACTACCTATCTTGACCTTGACAGTCTTACAAGGTCTTGCTTAAAACAATTTAGAATCTACACTACCAAAGGATGCTTCCACATAAGTTTCAGCTTTTTTAGTCCAGTTGCTCTTGAGAAGAAGATTTTTAAAGTTTTTTCCCATATATTTCTATGTACAACTTGGATTCCCTATTATGGCCCCGTCCTACCCCCAGGAGTCATGATTTAAATAATTCAGAATCTACGGAGACTAATTATCTTTTTTTTTTATTAATAAAAAACATCAAATTCATCTGTTCCACTCAATCAATAACTGACAAAAAGGGTGGTAACATACTAAAAATCTACAACCGACATGTCAACAGGATGCTCTAAATTAACTGGTCTCAAATGGGGTCCTATAAGGCACAGATATAAATTAGGTCAAGGCTATATAACTAGGTCAAGGTGATATATACAGTGTGGAGATATCTATTGGGGCTGAATAAAGCTATGAAATTCTTCACTTACTGAAATGTCTACGTTGTCAATGTTCACATTCTCTAAATCTAATTATAATTCTTTCTTTCTGTAGATCATCCATTTCTGTTTTACTGGGTGTCGACTCAAGTGGTGGGGCCGCAAATGTCCTTGGTGGGGTAGAGGATTCCTGGAAATTAAATCAAAATGCATTTTGATTTTTCAGAGATTTTTTGTTTGAAATGAAAAATAATTAATTGATTAAATGCAACATTAAGAGCTATTAAGCACTTTATAAATTTAAAAAGTGACAAATGCATTCTGATGATACTTTATTGTGTTCTTTCCAAAATTAATATTTTGTTGTGAGGTTTCCAACTATACCCTTGACACTACGTAGTGTGGTTCTGACTTGACTTGACATTAAATAATGTTGTTTTCTAGCTTTACCTTGAAATTTTTGTGTAGTAAGAGGCCTGACGGCCATAAAACTGAGACGAGCTCACTTGTGATCTCATTTTCACTCTTCCAAGATAAATTCCTTTGGAAAAAGAGAGATTGAGATCAAAAGTAAGCTCGTCTAATTGTTATGGCCCCAGGGCCTGGACTTTAACTTGACACTTTTTGGTTGTTCTCTCGACTTTACTATGATAATTTGTGAGTTGTTTTATGGCCCCAGGGCATGGACTTTATCTTGATACTTTTTGGTTGTTCTCTAGACTTTAGCATGACAATTTGTAAGCTGATCTCTTGACTTTACCTTGACACTTTGTTGGGTGTTCTCTTGACACTTTGTTGGGTGTTCTCAAGACTTTACCTTTACAATTTGTTGGGTGTTCTCTTGACACTTTGTTGGGTGTTCTCTTGACTTTACCTTGACAATTTGTTGGGTGTTCTCTTGATACTTTGTTGGGTGTTCTCTTGACTTTACCTTGACACTTTGTTGGGTGTTCTCTTGACTTTACCTTATCACTATGCTATGTGGTCTCTAGACTTTACCTTGACACTTTGTTGGGTATTCTCTATACTTAACCTTAAGGAAACACCAAAGGTTTCCAAAGACGAATTTGCTTGTAATTCTCTCATTATCAAAGATAACATAATTAAAGTATATATCAATTGAAAGCTTCTTTAAAGAACACAGACCATGTTTAGCAAAATTCGGCCTAATGTCAAAATATGAAAATATCACAATTTAGAGACCTTTGAAGAACTTGTCTTCAACCCTGTATTCTTATTTTTCATATATATGATGGGGAAAATGCTCATTTTGAAGTTTATATTAAAGGAGTATAACAAGTGATGACGCGTAATTTTATTACGTTGTGGAGGGGTGCTATAACACGTCAACTTATAAACAACTGATACAGTTTTTATTGAACTAAGTTTTAATTTTAAAACAGTTTTTTTTATTCTGAAAATGAAATGGGGAAGGCAAACAAATGAAATAATTGTATTTTTAACATATGCGGCGCACCATACATGTACTTAAAAATCAATCGGCCAAATATGTACTGCAAATCAATCGGCAATCCTCGGCTGACGCCGCTACGCTCCATTCAAATCTCGGATGTGATTAGTGGAGGAATACGCAACAGATCCTTACATTTCTCCGCCGGAAACTGCCTTATCACTCATTTCATATTTCGCTCTGCATAACGTTCTTCGAAAATGTTTCTAAATTTGTGCAATTCTTTCTCGTTAACAGGTTTTGATTACATCCTCATGTTAATAGGCTTTGAAAGCAAGAAAAAACTGTTGAGTGTGCCACAAAATAACTCCGATTTCAAATGTATGACATTTGAAATAAATTCAAATAAGATCACATGACTGAATCAGCAAGATTGAAACACGCCGTATTTTGGATGTTTTCACTCTTTATTTCATAATAGAAATTTAAATGCTGATGGCCTACAATATAATATGAAAAGAGATGAAATCTAACAACAATTATTATTGTGAAAATTACATTTACAATTTGCAATGCAATTGCACAAATAAATAAATTTCATTATACTCAGGCATTTGTATAAATTGTTATTAGGACAATATTATATATAACAATATGCATGATCTTATTCATGGATAAAAACATACCCTAAGTAAGGGAGTAATCAAAAATCCATGGATCTGGATCCGTCACATATCTGTTATTAACCTAATGTGATAATATAACAGACCTTCAATGCATATTCTATATCACTAATCATTATATTCCAAACTAAGTGTAACAATAACATAATTTGAAAAATAAAAACTAGTTCATTGATTTGTCAAGACGACACTATTGTTTTACTATTCTATATATAATATGTGATTTAATAATTGTTTAACAGAAATAATAAATTTGATCAATGATTTCTTTTGTAAGAAAAAATTTCATGTGTAAACAATCAGCTCGATCATTGAATATCCAGAATAAACTCTTAATGTACTATAAATCAAACATGATTTTACAGGATACTGAATAGATAAATACTTTACATAGCTTGATATAACTTCTATATATGTAGATAAACTTTTATTAATTTGATTTTCAAGTGCTTCTGGTAGCTGTGCTTTTGATCGCAATGGCGTGTCTTATTATGAACAAAGGATGATTCAAACAAAGGAATAAAACTTATTACATTAAAGAAATATTATTATTTCATTATTTTCCTATATTGAGATGGACATTTTAAATAAGGAACTTACATCAATCCAAGAATAATTTTAATATAAAATATTTAGTGAAGTAAGTTTTAATTAGTATCATGGCTATTTAAATGATTTACGATGCAAAGGTCATATCACTCCGTGGTCCAGCTGATAGGCAGCTCGCCCCACAATCCAAAGGACCACGGTTCAAACCCAACCATGACCACACTTTTTTAAAACCAAAATCATTTTGTTAGATATATATTCTATATATAGAATACATTAAAACTATTTCACCATATCACAAGATGGTAGATCACCGTTGACGTCCGAAGTTATGTGCGAGGTAGCCTGGTCCCCTGTCTCATCCTTGCCAAGGCAGGAGAGGCCCTAGTGACGCAGAGTAAACGAAGCAATACAGGGACAGGGAACCAGGCTATGTGCGAGGTACGAGTCATCCGAGGACCTCCGAGTGGATTCAAATCTTGGTAGCCTGGTCCCCTAGCTCATCCTTGCCAAGGTGACGCGGAGTATAAGAAGCAAAACAGGGACAGGGAACCAGGCTAAAATCTTAGATGATGTAATTATGGTATAACAAACCCGATCTATGATAATGTAATTTTGAACCCAACATAAATGTAGTGTGGGAGAAATTTTCTAACAAGTCGGAGTGTTCAACTAATGGCCAACTCTTGTTTTGCATGAAATATTCAAAGTATTAGCATTCTACTAATGGTCTACTGGCCGTCTTATGCAAATCAGTTGAACGCTTTTCAGAAAAGCATTCAACTCCTAGTGGTCAACTGTTTTCGCATTATCAGTTGACGACTAGTTGACTGCTAATTGACGACTACTTGACGGTCAAGTAAACATTTTCGTATGGGAATTATTTTTGCTTGCGAGTATTCATTTCTTATGAAATTAAAGTTTTAAAATTTTATTCTGTCTCAAATTAATTAAATTATTAGTATTTTATCAGTAGAGTCAGTTTTTATCGAATCATGAAATTGAATATCAAGCGCGAAGTCATTAACCTGTATCAATTTTGGGAAAAGGGGAGAGTGTAATCAAATTCCAAAATAAATACATTAGCTTAATTCTGATTGATACAGGTACGTCCTTTTCTTCCATTCAATTTATAAGACTTACAAGTATTATTGAAATGTTGTAAATAAACCTAAATCAATTTCTTATAAGAATAAGATACATGTCTCCTACATAACCCCATAAATTCATGCTTATTTCAATCAGTGTAAGAATTCATTTATCTATAATTTATGTTATTCTGTACTTTTACGTTCAACAATTTATACATGTTTGTACGCTGTGGTCAAATTACAATGTTTATGTTTTTGCGCCTGTGCAATGCAACGTTGTCAAGAACTTAGTCCTGCGACTAAGCATATCATTTATACGACTAGACTTATGCCACTTGGTTAAACGCAAAATTTTGGTGTCAGCCCCGGAAGTACACCTAAGTTAAGGCTTAAATTTACGACTTTTGAGGAAACGGGCCCCAGATGTAGTGCATTGTCCGACCAAGGTAATGATAACTTTTGTAGGTTCATAGAAAGCTATTCTTAATTACTCAGATGCTTTAAATATTTATTTAAAAACATTCTAAACACACGTGTTATGATTGCTTCCTTGTATGTTGTTCTTCTCGAGAATTTTTCACTCAAATGGAGACGCCACCACTTGCCGGTGGAAAGCTATGCTCGGCACTTAAGACTGTTGAGCAGAGAGGGATCTTTTTTGTGCCAGTACCTAGTGCGACATAGGACCTCGCTTTATACTGTCTCATCCGAGGGACCGGTCTCCACGTTTTACAGTAGGATTGTAACCCGCCACGTAAGGATTGACTTCTTATAGTTTGCGACTCTAGAGAATTCCTCAAACAGAAAACAATTACTTGAAAAGGTATTTCTGCCTGTCCGGAGTTGCCCCATCAATTTAAAATTGTAAATCACAATTAGATATTTTATGCAATATACAGTTTGAACAGAGGAATTAATTTTTGTCACTCAATTTTTAAGTGTATTGAAGGCCTGATTTGATGTATTATTACCTCCTGTTCTTTATAGTTTTGTTTTATATGTCGTAGTCTAGATCCCGCCGCGCCACTTCGATTTCACTACGTTTTGGGAAGTGAAAAAACGAAGTGGAGGGGGCGGGAACCAGGCTATACAGACAAGTAATCAGTAATCAGCGGTCTACCAGCTGCGCTCATTGGCTGATAAAAACTCTCGCTGACGTAAAAATTTAAATGTGTCGGGGACACAGAGTTAAATTTATATATAGATCTTTACTTTTTAAAAGTTCTCGTCATTTGCTTTGATGCAACCAATCTAACACGGTCACAACAGTCAATATTTTCTCATATGTAATACTCATATATTCCCTTTTTTCAGATTCTGTTTAACACAATTGTTATTGTATCTTACACATTTTATACATTCATCGGTTGAGGATGACTCACTGACACAGAATATCAGTTTATTGTGGTTATTTCCCATGCTAGAGTGTAGAGCAGTGGCGATACGCGTAGATTGGAGAATCGATCAAGCCAGGAATTCCTCGCTTAGATGGCGGTAGTCACTTGTCGTTCCGGAACGAACGAGACAGGAAATGCTAGTCTATGAAAAAAGGAAAAATGGCTTCCATCATAATAGTACAAAGGTAAGAAAGAATTAAACAATTGATCCAATTGAACAATTTTCATTAGATTATTATGATTTTAAAAATATTTTTACTTCGAAGAGTTTAACTTTTAGTGAACCAGATAAACAGCTTGTATCCGAGTCGGTGTATATAGGACTGTGTCGTGTGATTGGGACGTCAAAACAAGTCGCCATGAGGAGAGACGTACTGAATATTGCAGAGATATTGTGGAACACGACAAAGACCAATGATGAGATTTTAGCCATGACGATTGGAAGTAAGAGAGAGGGGTTCCGAATGAAGGGATCAGACGTGGATGTAATGTTCTGGCAAAATGACAATCGAGTGATCTGGAAACTGTTTCAAATTCAGTATTACAAATTAGGCAGCATAAAAGCAATCCTTTGTGACGGTTCTAAAAGTCCTCCAGGATACACTCTGTTATATTTACTCTCACCAAGCACCTATGAAAACCTACAAATAGCATGTGTTAATATAAATAACAGGCTATACGTATCTAGTTCGAGGTACTTACAGTTCATGTGTTCTGCAATAAACCCTAATTCAAAAATCCATGGACCATGCGGAGGTGGGACTATTGGAACGTTAGAATATGATAATGCTCCATGTTTTGCCTGTGATTTTTGGCCCCCTTCTGCCTCCTCTTGGATAGACAGATGTCATATGCATTCATGGCCAAATCCTAGTATTGTATATGTTATAATACGAAATGGATGTCATTTTGTACCAATAGGCCATAAATCAGGAGATCATGAAATTGACGAATGGAGAATTTCTTTTGCTTTGGCAGAACAAATGTTGGTGTATTTTCTAGATCACTTTCAATTCTTAACGTATGGTTTGCTGAAATTGTTCTTAAAGGAAGTTATTAATGATGGATTAAGTGAAGAAGATACATTACTGTCTTCCTATCACATAAAAACAGCAGTTTTCTGGGTAATTCAACAAAACAAAATAACACACTGGTGTCCACAAAATCTCCTGGAGTGTTTCTGGATCTGCTTGAAACTCATCCTTAAGTGGGTGTATGAGGGTGTCTGTCCTAACTTTTTTATTCCTCAGAATAACATGTTCCTGTGTAAAATATATGGTAAAGCACAATTAAATTTGTTCACTAGACTTTATGCAATGTACGAAAACGGTGTAAAATTTTTTGTTTTGCAAATTGACTCTATCAGGTCATATATAATTAAAGTTTTTGAAAATCCCACGCAATCCATCTGTACAAATGAACAATCTCTGATCTCTGAGATCGACTTTGATTTGGAATTATTCACTGAATTACGCCTGAATGATATAATGTACATTGTGAACTTACATCATTGCATGAAATACCTACAAACAGTAGAAAGGTTGATACGGTCACCTTTAACACAATTCCAAACTGTCATGCTCCAGAAACGAACAGCAACATTTCTCCAGAGACTTGCATTTATTTTACACAACATGAATAGTACAAACTTAGTTTCAAACAAGCTGATGTATGTTACTTATAAAATGTTTCGTCTTTTATTGACAGTGGCAACTCACTTTGGGTATGTTTCAGACATGCTTTATATTGCTACTTATTTTTATATGACATTTAGATACAAAGAAGCTTTATCTGTTATAGACATAACAAAGCTGAGGTTAGCACAGCCACATGTAATTTATAACGAAAATATACAGAGAGAACGGTATACAGAGGCTGTTGGGGGACAGTCCTGGTGTACAAAGTTAAGAAAGGCTGTATCCCGTGACATTAAATTTGACGATGAAATAATTTACATCAGTGAATTGATACTGGAACAGCAAGCCTGTGTAGAGAACGTTACATCTCTGTGTATCCCGCCATTAGTTCAGATGTATTTCCTTGAGGTCTTGTGCTGCAGACATGTGGATAGAGCGAGAGCTGAGACAGCAGTACACGATCTACAGGTCTTAGTCCATCAGGACCAGGAGATAAATATTCCTTCTAAACTCGGAGACATATCGTGGCAGATTCTGGGAATCTGTCAACAGGTGACGGGGTATCTCAAGGATGCCTTATACTCATACAAACAATCTTTTGAACAATACACATATCATGAAATTCAGAAGGTTTCAATTATAAGAATCATTATAATAATATTCAGACTTTTCGAGGTTTTTTAATGATATACTGAAAAAACTTTTTGGCTATTTTTTTTGTTTGTTTCTTAGTTATGAAAGCATCCAAGCATTGATGTATTATTGAAAACATAAACACTTATGAGAGATGTTTTTTTTACCTCATTTTATTTTCATGCAGTGGTTAAAGTACTTAGTTATAGTTTTTAGCTCACCTGAGCCGAAGGCTCAAGTGAGCTTTTCTGATCACATTTTGTCCGTCGTCCGTCCGTCCGTCTGTCTGTCCGTTTGTAAACTTTTCACATTTTCGACTTCTTCTCAAGAACCACTGGGCCAATTTTCACCAAACTTGGTACAAAGCATCCTTGGGTGAAGGGGAATTTAAATTGTTAAAAATAAAGGGCCAAGTCCCATTACAAGGGGAGATAATCAAGAAAAGACAAAAATAGGGTGGGGTCATTAAAAAATCTTCTTCTCAAGAACCACTGGGCCAGAAAAGCTGAAACTTACATGGAAACATCCTGGTATAGTGTAGATTCTACATTGTTCAAATCATGACCCCCAGGGGAAGGGTGGGGCCACAACGGGGAATCAAAGTTTTACATAGAAATATAGAGGAAAAATCTTTGAAAATCTTCTTCTCAAGAACCACTGGGCCAGAAAAGCTGAAACTTATGTGGAAGCATCCTGGGGTAGTGTAGATTCTAAATTGTTCAAATCATGACCCCCGGGGGAAGGGAGGGGCCACAATAGGGAATCAAAGTTTTACATAGAAATATATAGAACAAATCTTTGAAAATCTTCTTCTCAAGAACTACTGGGCCAGAAAAGCTGAAACTTATGTGGAAGCATTCTGGGGTAGTGTAGATTCTAAATTGTTCAAATCATGACCCCCGGGGAAGGGCGGGGATATAATGGGTAATCAAAGTTTTACATAGATATATATATAGGAAAAATCTTTGAAAATCTTCTTCTCAAGAACCACTGGGCCAGAAAAGCTGAAACTTATGTGGAAGCATCTTAGGGTAATGTAGATTTTAAATTGTTCAAATCATGACCCCTGGGGGAAGGGGGGGGGCCACAATGGGGAATCAAAGTTTTACATAGAAATATATTGGAAAAAATCTTTGAAAATCTTCTTCTCAAGAACCACTTGGCCAGAAAAGCTGAAACTTATGTGGAAGCATCCTGGGGTAGTATAGATTCTAAATTGTTTAAATCATGACCCCCGGGGGAAGGGCGGGGTAACAATGGGGAATCAAAGTTTTACATAGAAATATATAGGAAAAATCTTTGAAAATCTTCTTCTCAAGAACCACTGGGTCAGAAAAGCTGAAACTTATGTAGAAGGATCCTTGGGTAGTGTAGATTTCAAAATGTCTAAATTATGATCAGTGGGGTAGGGTGGGGATGCATTATGTATTACAAGGAGGAAATCTGGTAAAGAACAGAATGGTCAAAGCTTCTCAGGTGAGCGATGTGGCCCATGGGCCTCTTGTTAAAGTAAATAAGGGTGTGGACAACATGAAGTATGTTTTAAGGTGTTAGTTGTGGATTTAGAGAAGAAAAATACAGGAGTACTCTAAATATTCAGTTCATGTATGTAATCTTAAAGTCGTATTCACTGTTATACATGAATATAACTATTACTGACAACCAGAAAACAAACCCATCTGACCTACATATTCCTCACTCCTAAAAGGTTTTTGACCCCGATGGCACCAAATCAGGGTCTTCCCTGGCAGTCTTTAACCTTTCACTTTAATGTAATATAGCAGACCATAGTTTGAATCAGGAATCACTTAATCACTAGTCAAGTGCTCTTCCATCTGAGCTACATGGGCACTGGTGATCGGACCTGTCTGAATGCAACATCTATACCCTTATAAATTGTCCTCGTCATGGAACACCCAGCCTTATTAAGTTTTTTTGTTGTTCCTGGGAGGAATTTTCCCTGCAAGTCTATCCTTTAAAGTAAATAGTTCAAGCACTTGACTAGTGATGCAAGGGTCCCAAGTTCAATTTCCAGACAAACCATATATTTTCTCCTTTCCTTTTACATAATTTGGTGTCATGACCAGGATGTCACAAGTGAAAGACCTGCCAGGTAAGAGTTTTAGTTGGTGTCTTCGGTGTTGTCGCTTTTATACAGGATAAACGGTTGCAGCCATTGTGAAAAAAAATATTCGTGTTTTCACGTCTTTTTAACAACAATCAAAGCAAACGTGTAGGAATAGCCAATTATCCATTATTATAGAAACACCTGGGGTGTTTTGAGGTAATGTGAAACCTTAAACTCTTGCCTGACTTCCCCGTTTTAATTACGAAGATAATTAGAATATCCTGTAAGGTTTCCCAATTTTTATAGGTCAAAGGTCTTCCTTCTGTCCAGACAAATGGAAGGGACCTTCTCTTGTCCCTGTTTTGTCTTTAAATCAAACGTCTATAGGTTATACTGTCTACACTATATATGTGGAATCTTAAAAAGTCTTTTGAGCTTCAATGCTCACTAAAAATTCCTTGGGTCAGAATTTATGGTAAACAAGATGTGTTTGTTAAACACTGATGCCCCCGTATTGCAACATAGCAAAGATTAAACTTTTCTTAAATGCAATTGTTGCCAAAAGTAGAGTATTCTCACTGGAAAACAATTGTGAAATTTGAAAGTAAGATAATGTTTAAGTTTTGTAATAAGTAAAAAATCTCCAAGGTCAAGGTCAAAAGGTCAATGTAATTAGTATCAAATGAAAGTTCTTGCCACATAAAATACTTATGTAGAGCATGAAAGCCCTAGACCTAACCGTTCAGAAGTTATGGTCAACGTTCAATTTCTTAAAAAGTGGGTCAAACTCCAAGGTCAAGCTCAAAGGGTCAAAGTTATTGTTATCAAATGAAAGGTCTTGTCATAAGGATCAAATATGTAAAGTATAAAAGCACTAGCCCTAACTGTTTAAAAGTTATGGTCAAGGTTTGCTTTTTTAAAGTAAGTCAATCTCAAAGGTCAAGGTCAAAGGGTCAACGTTCTTGGTATCCAATAAAGGATCTTCTCGTAAGGATTACATATATGAAGTATGAAAGCCCTATTCCTTACCGTTCAAATGTTATGGCCAAGGTTAAAGTTTTTTCACAAGTACAGAAATCTACAAGGTCAAGGTCAAAGGGTCAAGGTTGTTGGTATCCAGTGAAAAGTCTGTTAACAAACATTACATATGTGAAGTAGAAATGTCCTGGTGTCTACTGTTCAAAAGATATGGCCAAAGTAAAATTTTAAAATTTTCATGTAAAAGTGGGTCAAACTCCAAGGTCAAGGTTAAAAGGTCAAATTTGATGGTACCCAAAGAAAGGTCTTGTCACAAGGAATACACATATGAAAGTCATAGCTCCACTAAATCAAAAGTTATGGGCAAAGTTAAAGTTTTTGTGGACAAACAGACAAACAGAGAGACAGACAGAGAGACAGATAGACAGACACGACAAAAACTATATACCCCCGAAACTTCGTTTACGGGGCATGAAAATATTTTTTTTTTAAATATCAAATTTTGAAGTTTTCTGCTAAAGAAAAATACCTGTATCTTGAGTACACTCAATTATTTGTAAAGTCACTTTTTTAGGTAAAATGAATCAATATTTTCTCCATTCTTGGGGGGTACGTCAAACAGAAAGATACATTAGCCTTAGAAATAATGGGAGAAATTAACCTCGGTAAGAAGTGTGGTTTCAAAGCTGCCATCTACATTTAAGACTGTCAATCTTGTAGATACATTAATTTTTGATATTCTTGTAAAGGCAATCAAAGTCATCAGAATAATTCCCTGATTCAAGCAGCCCCTCAAAACTGACCCCCATGTCACTACATATAAAGGTCTAGATAGTATCGACTTCTGGCCCTTTAGTAAATAGATAATAAATAATTCTACGTAGAACCTGTTTTTATCTCTTTTATCATCGTTGTGATAACGTTTCATTTACTAGTAACAAAAATCTAAAGATTTCATTTATACGCATTAGTATAGATAGTACCGATATCTTACTTTAGATACATGTACATACATGTATAGTACCTGAAAACTTAATATATACTGACATAAAATGGCCTCAAACATCGCTTCAGATTTGTAAGTATAAACGGTCCATAGTAGTTCAATTAGTTGATCTACAACAATTTTCTACAATTTAATTATCTTCTGTTAGTCCTTTAATGTCCGAGTCGGTGTTTGTAGTACTCTGTCGTTTATTGGAAACGTCTCAACAGGTGGCCATGAGAAGGGATCTAACGGACATTATAAAGGATTTTACTGAAGAATCAAGTCAGAGTAGGTGATGGTATCAGTGGAAGTTACAGAGAAGCAATCCGACTATCGGGGTCAAACAGAGACACCATGTTTTGGCGCACTGAACACAAGGTACTTTGGAACTTATCACAGCTTCACTTCTACAATATACACAAAGAGACCTTGATCCTCTTCGATTGTTCTGAAAGTCCACCAGGATTCGCCATACTCCAATTACTGACGCTAAAACGACCTGTCCTTTCATCATGCATCACAATGAAAGGCAAACATTATATATCAAGCTCTAAATACCGCCATCGCATGTGTTCCAAAGAGCTCCTTAACTCTAAGTAATGGACCATGTGGGAGCGGATCAATAGGAGCTTTAGAATATGATAATGCCTACTGTTTAGCCTCGGACTTTTGGCCTCCATCTGCCTCCTCATGGGTAAACAGGTCGCACTCATGGCCAAAACTTCACATTTGTCATGATTTAATAGTAAGAAATGGATGTCACTTTGTTGCCATAGGACATAAACTTGGAAACCAGGAAGATTGTGAATGGAGGATTTCATTCTCTCTTGCAGAACGAAAACTTGTGCAAGCAATGAGTCATTGTCAATTTCTAATTTATGGTTTGCATAAATTGTACTTTAAGCAAATTAACAATACACTAAGTGTTATTGATAAATTACTATATTTCCTATCATATGAAGACAGCTGCTTTCTGGGTGTAGAACAAAACACGATACCCAATTGGTGTCCCCAAAATTTCCTGGAGTGTTTCTGGATCTGCTTCAAAGCCATCCTTCAGTGGGTGTATGAGGGAGTCTGTCCAAACTTTTTTATTCATCAGAATAACATGTTCCTGGGTAAAATATATGGTAAAGCACAAAGAAATTTATTTATCAGACTGCACGAAATGTACGAGGAAGTATTAGAGTGTCTTCTATGCAGTTTCAGGTTCTTCCTCGGAAATGTTGCTCTCCATAAGCCCACTCGCTTATCTGGCTTAGGTGAACACACTCTCATATCCGAGTTTGAATTTGATGTTGAAATATTTAGGGAGTTTTACCATAGGGGTGCATTATACCCACATGCCTGCACAGCTGTATGACACACCTACATGCAGTGGAAACACTGATTGGTTCAACCCTGACTCAGTATCAAGTCATCATGTTACAAAAACTTACATCAACCATTCTTCAAAGAACTGCTTATATATTATATGACATGTTCATAAACACTTGGGTGAACAAAGAAATCTACATTGTTGACAAAATATCACGTCATATGTTGAAATTATCAGCCAAGTTTGGTTGTATATCTGACATAATGTACATAGCCATGTATTATTACAAGACGTATAGATACAGACAAGCTTTATCTATAACAGAGACGATAAAGGCAAAGTTGAAACAACCATACGTGGTGTATTACGTTAAAGCAGATGCAGAAATGTACACAAAGGCTGTAGGGGGACAGTCCTGGTCTACAAAGATGAGACAAGCTGTTGCATGGAATATTGGACTTGAAAATATTAGCGGCAACATGTACATCAATGAATTAAAACCAAAGCATTTATCTGGCATAGGAAACATGGAACCGTTGTTAATAATCCCATCATTCATTCTGTTGAATTTATTGGAGATTATGTGTTACAGACATAGCAACACAAAAAGAGGACAATAAGCTCTGAATGATATACAAACCCTAGTTCACAGGGTAGGTATAATTCTCAGAGACATATCCTGGTAGATTCTGGGGATCTGTCAACAAGTGACAGGGGACTCTCACGCCGCTCTATACTCATACAGAAATTATATGTATTTCATTTCGCCCCGTTTTAAATTCGCCCTAATGAGGATAGGGCGAAAGGGGCGAAAATAAAAAGGGAGCGAAAATTTCCCTGTATACAGTAATTATCTTTTTATTTAAATTCCATTCTATCATACTAGAGATCTCAGAGAACACAAAAGGTAAATATAAACTAAGTTAAATTGATGCAAAGCCTCTAATCGCCGCACAAATATATCATTTTAAAGAATTTTTGCAAAAAGGAATTCAAATGAAAAATTACATGTACCATGTACGAGTAACATTTCGTTTGAAACCTGTTCCATTGACTTACTTTTTCTATCCATTTTTATACTCTTCAATTTTCTGTGTGATCAAAGAAAATAAGAAATTCATTGATATAAAAAAATTAATAGTATCATAATAAAATTATTTGGCTAAATACAAATGCAAAAAATAATTTTAAACTGACTAATTATGAAACTCTGGATGCTGAAGAAAAAGGACGTTCAAACTTTACGTGCTTTTTCGTGTGATAATGCCTTATACTCCGATCAGTATGTAAAGTGCGAAAAAATCGGGTCATTTGAAATTATTCAAAACAAAATATACTTCTTCACTTTTACAATTTATTAGTTATCATAGGGACTGTAGTTCATATCCGGAAACTCAATACGTTTTGTTTCTATATCGCATGTATGCCCATCTTGGGAGTACATGCAACAACTTTTTATTAATTCATAAATTAATGATGTACATGTATGCTGGGAAATGATAAACAAATTGAAACCTTATAACAACCTTTAAGACAAAGTAGATTATATTTATATATAGATTATATATAGAGTATATTTAAATCTTTTATTCATGACTTTTATGTTTTCTATCAATAAAGAACTATTTCATTAGGTCACCTGAGTAAACTCAGGTGACCTATTGCCATCTGTTTTCGTCCGTCGTCGTGCGTCGTGCGTCGTGCGTCGTCCGTTAACATTTGAACATTTTCAGCTTCTTCTCTGCAACTACTGAACCAATTTCAACCAAATTAGGCACAGAGCATCTATGGGTGAAGGGGAACAAAATTTGTGAATTTCATGATCCCTGCCCCCCTGGGGCCTGAGGGGTGGGGCCAAAACCACTAAAATTAATGCAATCTTTAAAAATCTTCTTCTTTACTCCTGGACATCAAGCAGTCAAACTGTTTGCATGATTGTAATCAGCAATGAGTCGTCTACCAAAATTGTGAAATTCATGGCCCTGGGGTCAGGGGTTCTAGTGCTAGGGCGGGGCTAAATAAGTAGGTAGTGAAAATGCATTATTTCTTTGAAAATCTTCTTCTCTGCTCCTGGGTATTAAATAAACCAACTAAGTACATAGTTATGATGGGCAAGAGTGCCTCTACCAAAATTGTGAATTTTATGGCCCCAGGGTCAGGGGTTCTGGTGTTAGGGCGGGGCTCTATTGATTGTATAGTGAAAATGCATTATTTCTTTGAAAATCTTCTTCTCTGCTCCTGGGTATTAAATAAACCAACTAAGTACATAGTTATGATGGGCAAGAGTGCCTCTACCAAAATTGTGAATTTTATGGCCCCAGGGTCAGGGGTTCTGGTGTTAGGGCGGGGCTCTATTGATTGTATAGTGAAAATACAAGAATTCTTTGTAAAATCTTCTTCTCTGCTCCTGGGTATTAAATAAACTAACGAAGTACATAGTTATGATGATCAAGAGTGCCTCTACCAATATTGTGAATTTTATGGCCCCAGGTTCAGTGGTTGTGGTTTTATGGCGGGGCTCTATTGATTATATAATGAAAATACACTAATTCTTTGAAAATCTTTTTCTCCGCTCCCAGGTATTAAATAAACTAACTTAGTATATAGTAATGATGAACAAGAATGTCTCTTCCAAAATTTTATGGCCCCAGGGTTGGGTTTCTGGTATTTGGGCGGGGCTCTATTGATATTATAGTGAAAATACATGAATTCTTTGAAAATTTTCCTTTCTACTCCTAGGTATTACGCAGGTGAACATACCTATATAGTTATGATGAGCAAGGGTCCTAATCTTCCAGAATTATGAATTTCAAGGCCCCTGGGTCAGGGGTACCATAGACGGGGGAAGGGGGGGGGTATTTATATAGTGAAAATGAATGTATTGTTTGAAATCTGCTCCTTGGTATTAATCAAATATTTTTGAAAAGCAAGGATGCCTTTTTAAAAATTGTGCAATATGTGGATCTAGGCCTAAAGGTCAGGGGTTCATGTGTGAAAGGGGCACTACTGATTAGTTGACATGCATTTTTTGCTCCCCTACCCTGCCTTTGGGTATTAAGTAACCAAACTAAGCAACTGCTAAATGTATTGTTATAATGATCAATGGTGCCTCTTTCAAAATTGTGAATGCTATAGCATCTGGCTTTAAACATGAATCAAATTCAGTCACTGGAAAGTTGTTGCATAATGCTCAGGTGACCTATAAGGCCCATGGGCCTCTTGTTTAATTAATTCCCCATGTGTACATTTTAGATCCTGCGGTCGATAATGAATGAAGATTTAGAGGGATGTTTTCTGTGCTAATAATAGCACCTGGTAATTTTCATACCTTTACCTGTTAAAATGGACTACTTTAGAACTTCACCAGTGTAAGTTTTAATAACTGTTGTATATTACTTCAATTTCTGATTAAGGGTACTGAACACGAACAAAAAAAAATGATGCATGGATTGATATATATATTTTTTGACTGATTTTGATTTGAAATGACAAAATTTTGCACAACTTTTTGACCTTATAACAAAGTTATAAATATACCTGGTAAACATTATTCTATCAATTATCAATTTAAACATAAATCTATGAGAAATACTGCTGATTTCTGGAAAAAAAATTGTTTGTGTTAATTATCCTTAACTTTAATTTCATATACAAGGAGCACTTTTTTTCTTTATTTTCTTCTATTTTGCTCTTTCCAAATTGAATGACATTTGACCATTATATTGTACAAATAAAAAAAATTTAGAAGAGTGAACTTTCATTGAAAAGTAAAAGCAATTTTTGAAGGCTGAGGGTAAATTATACATTTATGCGAGTATTGAATGGTTAACTAAATGACAGATATCATGTTTATTAAGACATTTTAAATTCTTCTTTAATCATCATTAGAAAGACAGCCCTACAGCATATGTCCGAGGCAGTGTTCATGGGACTGTGTGATAAACTTGGGACTTCACAACTGGTGGCCATGAGGAGAGATGTGGTGGACATAAATGAAAAAGTGTACAGTCAAAGGAGAACAGGTGAAGAGTACTGTGTGGTGTGGAGTGGAAGTTACAGAGAAGGATTTAGACTCAAAGGATCAGATTGCGACGTTATGCTGTAGCAAAATGATCACCGTGTGATATGGGAATTATCTCAGTCTCAGTATTACGATACACACAGACAAACACTGATCCTCTGTGACTGTTCTGAGAGTCAACCAGGATTTACTTTGTTATATTTACTGTCACCAAGCAAGTACACAGAAATTCAGAGAGCTTGTGTTAGAATAAATAACAGGAACTATATTTCCAGTTCTAAATACAGAACGATTATGTGTTCAGCAGTTTTTTCTGACTCCATTCAATATGGGCCCTGTGTCAGTGGAGTTACTTCAAGTGAAACAGATTATGATATTGCCCACTGTTTTGTTAGTGACTTTTGGCCTCCATCTGTCTCTTCATGGATAGAAAGATGTCACTCATGGTCCCAGCCTCATATTGTTGATGATATAGTAAAAAATGGATGTCACTTTGTAGCAATAGGACATACACTAGGACATCATGTGCACGATGAATGGAGAATTTCTTTCTCTCATGCAGAACATAAACTTGTGTGTGAAATGAAACACTGTCAATTCTTAACTTATGGCTTGCTCAAATTGTTTTTAACGGAAATCATTAACAATGAACTAAGTGATGATAATAAATTAATGTGTTCCTATCACATAAAGACAGCAGTTTTCTGGGTGATTCAACAGAATACATTTCAATATTGGTGTCCACAAAATTTCCTCGAGTGTTTCTGGGTTAGTTTTAAACTAGTCCTTAGGTGGGTGTATGAGGGGGTCTGTCCTAACTTTTTTATTCCCCAAAACAATATGTTTCTGAGTAAAGTCCATGGTGAAGCACAACATCAGCTATTTATAAGACTGTATGGATTGTATGAGAAAGGTTTAGCATTCCTGCTATACAGTCCCTCCATTAGGTCTTGTATTATAAATGTCCTTTGCAATCCCTACCTCTCCATCTGTACAGATGAAAATACTCTGATTTCTGAGGCAGAGTTTGATAAAGATCTATTGACGGAGACAAACAGATATGACGCACTTTTCACACCAAACCTAGAAACCTGTATGAGATATCTACATATTGTAGAACAGATGATAAGTTCACCCCTCCTAACAACACAGTATCAAGTTGTGATTCTACAGAAACTTACAGCTTGTGTCCTTCAGCAAACTGCTTTTAATTCATACATGGAAACTTACAAACAAACTTAGGTATAGAGCTGACAAAATGTCCCGTCACATGCTGAAATTAACAGCCAGGTTTGGTTGTATTACTGACATGCTGTACATAGCCATGTATTATTACAAGACACTTCAATACATGGAAGCTTTATCTATTATAGAGATAGTCAAGGTCAAGTTAGCACATCCATATGTGATACATAACAATAATGTAGATACAGAGATGTATACTGAGGTTGTAGGGGGACAGTTCTGGTCTACAAAGATGAGACAGGCTGTAGCATCGAATATCAGACATATCAATATAATCAATTACATCAATGAACTAATACCAGAATAACAGTCTGCTCTACAGAACAAGGAGTATTCATTATACATTCCATACTTTGTACTGTTATACATGCAAGAGATCTTGTGTTACAGACATGTGGACTCAATGAATGCACAAACAGCTCGAAATGATCTACAGACCTTAGTCCACTATGATCAGGGAAAGTTTATATCTTTAGAACGCAGAGACATATCGTGGCAGATTCTGGGGATCTGTCAACAGGTGACAGGGAACCTCCAGGCTGCTCAATACTCATACCAACAATCTCTCAGACAAAAAACACACAATAAAATACACACAGCTACAGAAATGAGAATACAAGAAGTTTGTCACAGATTACCAAATTAGTGAAAGATATACTAGACATTTTAGAAGACCATGTGATAGAATTTATAATTTGTATTTCTTCTCATTCTACCATATTTTCTGAATGACTATTTCATCGATTTAAAAACAGGTGACAGGGAACCTCTAGGGTGCTCTTTATTGAAATATTCACTCTACCAGATGCCATATAACAAAAGACAAACTGCCAAAATTATCAGCAATCTATAAGCTTTTAAATGTCTTTTAGTTATAATGAAACAAATGATGATACATGGCAAGAAAAAGTGGCAGCATCAACAGAATTATAACATTATTTATAGACTCGTGAATGTCTTTCAGTTACAAAGAGTCACATGAAATTGTCTTGCAAAAAAGCACCAATAGCAATCAATTCTTGGTGTAGGATCACTTAAACTAGTCAGAGTTTGCAATAATGAAATAACAGCAGACCTTTTGATAATGTCCATCTTTCTTCTGTTACATGAAACATTAATTCTCAAATATTTTTAATCTGATGACAATCTGAATCTGAATTTGTGAAGATTGTAAATTGTGTTTATCAAAAACAGACAAAGTGTTTTACAAATTATATTTTTCTTTTTTCATCAAGTATTTCTGTAAATAATCTAAAAGAGCTCAGTTTACTTTGTGCATAAAACGGCCCTGTAGAAAAACCAATTTATTGACTAACATTTTATGTTCTATTTAAAACATCCCAATAAAGAAGAGACTTAGTACTTTCATTTCCTATTAAAAATTTTCTCCTTAAACTCGAGTTGTTGAAACACAGGCTTTATGGAATTGCAATGTTCTTGAATTTTAATGTAAACAGGTATATTTGAGTACTTTCAGAGAATAAAAATAAAAATAAAACATGTCTTGTAATCCTCAGAAACAGTTCTATCATTTACTAGTTGCTTATTTTAGATCAGAGATTGGACTCCATATTAAATACTGGAAAATGGCTTTAAAAACTGGCTGATTTTGTAGACTTTTTAGAATATGAGGAAATTGACGCATTTCGTTACGTCATAATGCATTGACTAGCCAAAAAATACGACTTTTTTAATAGATATGCAATCACCAATGGTCTAAATGACATTTAATGCAATGTTCACTAAATTTAAGCAGTTTCAGTTTTTCAGAAATTCACAGGGCCAAAAAAGGCGATAAGTGAACCTTGTTCTTTGAATGGGTCTCCCTTATTTTATGTAAGTCTCTCTTTACAATAATAATGTACATGTATTTAATGTTTGAAATAAAAGACATACAAAACAGAAAGAATATAAATTTTCTTTCTTACATTATTTTTATTTTCAGAGATGATACTTTGAAATAAATATATTTATTTCATTCAAGCACTTCCCTATACATGAAGTTAAAACAAGACACCATATTTAAATGAATGTACAATATATTATCCTTAAAGCTGAGTATCTCCCTATAAGCTCTCTCCTCAAATACTCTCAAAACATAACAAGTGTTCCATGTAAACAAAATGATACAGAATGACATTTGACAGACTGATTTCAAGTCAAAAAATCTTATCTTGGTGAAAGTTTATATCTTTTTATGAGATGGTGGAAATGCCATGGTTTATCTACAATGTAAATAAATGAATAATTTTGTCCTCAAGATAAAATGGTCCTTAGTTCTGTATTTCAATCTTCCAGTAAGTCTTCATCCAAATTTATGTCCTGAGGGGAAAAAATTCAAGTGTTAGAATATTTTATTTATATTAAATTCTTTACTTTTTCAGCTTTAACTGGCTATTTGAGAGAAATATATACATGTACAGTGGAGCCTCATTTATCCGGATGCTTTGGTTCCCAGTCAATTTGTCTGGATATTTGAAGCGTCTGGATACCTGAATCACCAGTTAAACAAGTTAAAATAACATTAAAAAATTCTGTTCCGATGAAATATGGTACACAAGTATATTATATTAGCCAGTTTACATTGCATGATTTAATATTTAGATATGGGTCAGGTTAATCCTTACTTTATAATAAACAAGAGGCCCATGGGCCACATCACTCACCTGAGTAATGTTAGCCATTCTGTCATTTAGCTGATTTCCCCCTTTGTAATACCTATCTTGACCTTGACAGTCTTACAAGGTCATGCTTAAAACAATTTAGAATCTACACTTCCCCAGGATGCTTCCATATAAGTTTCAGCTTTTTTAGTCCAGTTGCTCTTGAGAAGAAGATTTTTAAAGTTTTTTCCTATATATTTCTATGTAAAACTTGGATTCCCTATTATAGCTCCGTCCTACCCCCAGGGGTCATGATTTGAATTATTTAGAATCTACACTACCCCAAGATGCTTCCACATAAGTTTCAGCTATTCTGACCCAGTGGTTCTTGAGAAGATTTTAAGATTTTTCCTATATATTTCTATGAAAAACTTGGATTCCCAATTGTGGCCCCGCCCTACCCCTGGGGTTCATGATTTGAATTTAGAATATACACTTCCCCAGGATGCTTCCATATAAGTTTCAGCTTTTCTGGCCCAGTGGTTCTTGAGAAGAAGATTTCTAAAGATTTGTTCTATATATTTCTATGTAAAACTTGGATTTTCTATTGTGGCCCCGCCCTAGCCCAGGGGGTCATCATTTTAACAAATTAAAATCTACACTACCCAAAGATGCTTCCACATAAGTTTCAGGTATCCTGGGTCAGTGGTTCTTGAGAAGATTTTGAGGGTTTTTTTTCTATATATTCATATGAAAAACTTGGATTCCCTATTGTGGCCCCGCCCTACCCCTGGGGTTCATGATTTGAATTTAGAATCTACACTTCCCCAGGATGCTTCCACATAAGTCACAGCTTTTCTGGCACAATGGTTCTTGAGAAGAAGATTTCTAAAGTTTTTTCCTATATATTTCTATGTAAAACATGGATTCCCTATTGTGGCCCTACCCTTCTCTTAGGTGTCATGATTTGAACAATTTAGAATCTACACTTTCCCAGGATGCTTCCAAGAAAGTTTCAGCTTTTCTGGCCGAGTGGTTCTTGAAAAGAAGATTTTTTAATGACCCCACCCTATTTTGGTATTTTCTGACTATCTCCCCATGGAAGGAAACCTCGTCCTTTATTTTAACAATTTAAATTCCTCTTCACCCAAGGATGCCTTGTACCAAGTTTGGTCAAAATTGGCCCAGTGGTTCTTGAGGAGAAGTTGAAAATGTGGAAAGTTTACAGATGGACGGATGGACGGACAGATTGACGGACGGACGGACAACGGGTGGTCTGAAAAACTTACTTAAGCTTTCAGCTAAGGTGAGCTAAAATGAATGTAATGGAAACCAAGAACCTGTAACACCTCAGATTCTGCTTTAAAAAATTTAAACTCAAAGGTTTATATTTAGACATAACTCAGCAGGCACACAACATTGAATAAACTTTGAATCAATGTTATTTTTCTATGCTGATTCAACATTGATTCTATGTTAGATTTTGAAAATTTGTATCAACGTTGAAGTCTTAACATTGAATCAACATTGATAATCAACGTTGATTATATGTTGAAAAACTGTTGATTCAACATTTATTCATTTTGGAAAGGGGGTGTCATATAGTAATAATATACTTACTTAAAATTTCAACTGTTTATTGCACGGTTGCTAAGATGCCTTCATAACTGTTGAAGGGATAGCGACCCTCTGATAAGACAGACAACTTTCAAAGTACAAAATAGTAATACTACTCGCAGTTTTCTCAATCAGTTTCCTCCCAGCAGGCATACAACATTGAATAAACTTTGAATCAACGTTGTTTTTCTATGCTGATTCAACATTGATTTTATGTTAGATTTTGAAAATTTGTATCAACGTTGAAGTCTTAACATTGAATCAACATTGATAATCAACGTTGGTTATATGTTAAAAAACAGTTGATTCAACAATTATTCAATTATTTATTTTGGTAAATGGGGTGTCATATAGTAATGATATACTTACTTATGATTTCAACCGTTTATTGCACGGTTGCTAAGATGCCGGGTATAGCGATTCTCTGATACGACAGAAAACTTTCAAAGCACAAAATAGTAATACTACTCAGTTTTCTGAGACCTCTGAGTAGTCAATTTAATGAGATCAAACATATGATGGAAACATTACTTTCTATTTCTTTTGCAAATTTCTTTGTAATTGTTTTATTATATTTATCAATAAAACATTTAACTCCAACATCAAATGCCTTATAAATTGAATAAGTTGTATCTTTTTAAGTGCCATTTTAAAAATGGTTTAATATTTCAAGTACTTAATAGAGTATTTTAATTAGAGTGGCTTTTTTCACATGAAGAAATATATTTAGAAGAAAGATAACTCCTAATCACAGATATATGTTTTCTTACAATCCCA